TTACTTGTTCAGTTTGGTCTATAATTTAACCATGAATCGACTTACGAATGAACAACGCTTGCAAATTATTGAATTTTATTATCAAAATTCATGCTCGGTGAAGAAAGTGCATCGTGCACTTCTTCCAATTTATGGGCAGTTTCGTCGGCCTACTGAGGGAGCTATTCGAAAGCTTGTGACTGAATTTTGAACCCAGTTTACATTATTGGACATTAAACCACCAACACGCATACGTAGAGTGAGGACCGAAGAAAATATTGCGGCTGTATTCGCCAGTGTTCGTGATGACCGTGAAATGTCGATTCGCCGCCGTTCGCAGCAATTGGGCCTCTGTTATCTCTGTTACTACGTGGAAAATTTTGTAAAAGGATTTGGATGTAAGACCTTATAAGATACAGCTGGTACAAGAATTGAAGCCACACGGCCTCCCACAACGTCTAACATTTGATGAATGGGCACTGGCAAAGTTGGAGGAAGATCTACATTTCCATCGAAAAATTGTGTTTAGCGACGAGCCTCATTCCTGGTTCAATGGATACGTTAACAAGCTAATTTTCCGCATCTGGAGTGAATACCAGTCACAAGCAATGCAAGAACTACCGATGCATCCCGAAGAAGTCACTGTTTGGTGAGGATTATGAGTCGGTGACATCATCAGGACGTACTTCTTCAAAGATGACAATGGCCGGAACGTTACTGTGATGGTGAGCGCTACCGTGTGATGATTAACGACTTTTTGTTGCCCAAAATGGGAGAATTGGACACGCCTGACATGTGGTTTCAATAAGTCGGTGCCACATGCCACACAGCAAGCGAAACAATGGCCCAGTTAAGATGCTCCTTCGGTGAACAGTTCATCTCACGTTTGAGGCCCGTCAATTGGCCGCCTAGATCGTGTGATTTAATGCCTTTGGATTATTTATTGTGGGGCCATGTTAATGCTCATGTTCACAGTGATAAACCAGCAACTACTGACGCTCTGAAAGCAAATATTGAAGCATTTATACGTGAAATACCGGTCGATATGTTGGAGAGAGTGTGCCAAAACTAGACTTTGCGCATGGGCCATCTAAAGCGGAGCCGCGGAAAACATTTACATGGAATTATCTTCAAATATCAAATTATATTGATTGTTCTATCGATTTCAATAAATATTTCATCAATTTTTTCAATTTTTTTGTGTGAATTGAATCAAATGAACTGGAAAAGTAGTTGATTCTACAAGTGATAAAAATAATATCACACCATCTTTCGTAGTGTGTGTGCATATGGCTATAGAGAATGAAGTATCGAACTTCAATTAGGAGAAATAATCCCAAAAACTGTGTATATACAGGCCGTTTCTTTTATCATGTGGTAACATTGCTATATTTCAAATCGTAACAGACACGAAGACGATTAAATGGAAAAAAAGTTCAGAAACTGCAGTAACGTTAGTTACAAATAAAAGTGGTAAGAACATAGAAATTTTCAATACTCTTTCCTTCATTACAATATATTGGAATCTGGTTTTTTTCCCAATAAATCGTTGATATACAATAAAAAGTGGGTTGGAGACAATATGGATCCCTGGGGAACACCAACGTTGATGGTGAAATGATTCAAGAGATCCATAGACAGCCACTTACAGGAAACATTCTTTCAGGAAAATTGATATCAGTGACATAATGTCGATAATGGAGAATCAGGATTGAAGGGGATTTATCAAGTTGTTCCGCAGGGTTTCATTACAGGCCCTTCACTTTTTATAATTCACATGAACCCTTTGGAAGTTTCGTAGTACAAACAAAATGTGTATAAATTGTCTATAGCACTACTCTAGAACGCTCAAGTAATTCTCACAACAGCCTATTTCATGGAACATAATACAAAATAATGCCATCAGACACTTGATCAATTGTCAATTGGCTCAAATTGAATGATAACTCAGCTCGAGTATAGATATTAATTTCTTCAAATACTAGAATGCAACACCCAAATCATGTGAAATTTCAGGACCCCATGTTGAACGAAGTGGTCTGCTTATATCGATAGTTTGACGAAAAAATCCAAACCATTAAAGAGTTTGCATAGCTGGGTGTCCAACACCAAAACAACTCTGATGAATTCATATATTTTTGTATTTTTCAAAAACTCAAACTCTTCTCATTCTCATGTTCTCAAACCTTTCTTCGATGTTCCAGATTATCGAGGCTGCAAGTGATGCTCGCGTCTCCATGTAAGGCTTCGTGGCATTCGATTTTGTTGAACCAAAACTGCAGTAGCGTTGGTTACAAATACAAGTGGTAAAAAGCATAGAAAGTTTCATTAATCGTTTTTCATAACTGAAAGAGTTTGTTTGGATCGAGAGATTTATTATGTTATTTGGAAGTTAGTTGGGATCTTTGAGTCGACGACCTTCTCCTCTGTAGTATCAGGTCAATACTTATTGTTCATGTCCGCCCAATTATTCCATTTCATTCTTCACTTCAACTTACTCATCTGAATATTTCAGTACCTACTGTTTTTGTTTTAGATTGAATCTTCTCATTTTCCCGGTGACGGAGCTTCGCAATCTCCATTTCTCATGGCTAAGAATGTGCTAACAGACATAAAGTAGTCGTAACGATCAAGAGTTCCAAACCAAGCGGCGATTAACGAAAATTAAGTACTCCCGGAAGGAAATATGGAGTTCATAATTTGATTACGCAATATCGTTTCGTCAGATGGGAGCAGCAATTCCCGTTACACGATCAATTAATCAAATCACATTATCGCAGACTCTATATTGCTTTGTTAATCTCGTGGAGTGAGTTTCAATGCCATCGTGCTATCTATAACTCATCTATCTTCCGCCTCAGCCTCCCATGAGGATCTCGTAGTGGGTTCGGAGGCACGCTTATCTCTTGTTTTCACTTTCTCGTGGTAATCGGCTCTTACTATTGATATTGCTTACTAATTGTTCGATTTTAGGGGTTTGGGAACAATGATGGGTCGAGGGTTGGACGTGAACTATTCATAAGTTTTTGTTCTGAATTGATTGAAAAGTTTGCGTCAATGTATGTGTGAAAAATTGAATCAAGTGTTCAAAAACACTTGAAATGTTGACAGTGACATACGGTGATTGTACTCTGTTATACGAACATATGAACAAATGTTTCTAGTGGTACAAGCTTTTCATCGAAGGTCGAGAATATGTGAATGACGACACTTACCCTGGCGGCCCTAGCACAACAACAACCGATGAAAATGTTGAGAAAGTGAAGAACACTGTTATTGAGAATCATCGAATCGCTATTAGAAAAGTTGTTGAGTATGTCGGCACATCGGTTGGCTCATGTCATACAATTTTTCTGTGAATTTTGGGCATACAGCCTTTGGCAGCAAAGTTCGTTTCGAAATTGCTGAATTTTGACCGAAAGAGCCGTTGCATGAGCATCGCTCACGAATTGTTGAATTATGTCAACGGTGATGCAGATTTGCTCAAGAGGGTCTTAACTGGTGAAGAATTGTAGGTATATAGTTATGACATCGAAACCAAAGTTTAATCGTATCAATGGAAAAGCCCAGATGAGCCAAGAGCATCACGAAAAAAAAATTTGTTGAATGAAAGAAAATTCACTTCATCCAAAGAAATAAGTGTCATTTATGCACGACAAAATATTTTGTTAATCCAAGAAAAAAGTATTCTTGACTTCCAACTATTTCTTCCAGCATATTTTCATTGTATCAAACAAATCTTTGTTATTTTATTATTTATTATTATAATTGATGATATCTACCAAAAAAAATTAGAGTCGATTTCGAAACCTTTCACTGAAGTAATGTTCTAAAATGAAAGAGAACAGAGATTAGTGATTATCTACATTTTCACAATAATACTATTGGATCAATTTCTACTAACTAGCTTGGATATTATCGAAATATAAAAATATATTTTTTTGTACAAATCCAATTTAACAAACTGAGTTATCCTTATTTTTTGATAATAGGAAAAAAACAATGACGTACTTCATCACATAAAAATATATTTTTTTTTGTACAAATCCAATTTAACAAACTGAGGTATCCTTATTTTTTGATAATAGGAAAAAAACAATGACGTACTTCATCACAGAAACATTTGATTAGAAATACGACTATGATGAGAAAATTCACTTAGCGTTCAACCATAACTTTCAGGCCTTCAAATCTACCAAATTTGAGAATTCTAGCATTTAATTACTTAGGTACAGACCTGAATAATAATAATAAATATCTACAGCAAATCGCAAAAATATATAGTTATTTAAGAAAACTGAATATGTTTTCAATTGTAATGTTATACATATTTATTATAAGAGTTACGAATGAAAGACATACCTCTGTTATACAGTGCTAGTCAAAAGTCCCCTCCCCCCCTCGTATCTTTGGAACGGGTATACTTATAATAATGAAATTTGGAGGGTGGAAATAAATTTGTTTGACTCAACCGAATTATTTTGAGAACACAATAAATGTTATTCTTGAAATGATCCACAATTCATTTGACTAAGTAAAAGACCTCTTGAATTGAAATATTAGAGAAATTAAAATGAGAATTTCATTTTGTCTCCGCAAAATTATCATCTAATCGATACAATACACACGTCGTTTAAAATGAATGGTATTTAATCAAAATGATGA